TAGGGGGTGGGGAGCCGCAAAATCTCGATTTAAAACTTACACTCACTATTTTCTTCGAAAATATACGTGAGTTCCACAAAAAACTTCCAAAAACCTATACATTCATGTCTTAACTGACGGTACAAATTCCAAGAAAGTCTCGAAAGAGAATTTTTGATTAGGTTATGTTATGGATTTTGTTATTAGCAAGTGGTGAGAAAATGTATGATTATATGATTTTTGTCAAACCCTTTTTGAATAAATTAAACCCTATAGCATTAGAATAGAACAGGTGTTTTTAAATTAACATTATCTTTTCGGTCTAATCATACAAGATAGAAGTTCTAAATCCGAAATTTGCATTAGCCAATAATATTTCCGTTTTTGGAAGTTCGTTGAAGACCACTTCACCCGTCCTCACAATGAATTTTCTATTTGACAAGATGTATTTAACAAGATTCACTTAACCTGAGTTTTTCAGGAATGAGTGGTCCTAATGAGAAATATTTTTGGTAAAACTTTCAACCCCATAAGGCGAACTAAGCTGAAGTTCTGGCTTACCTATGGCCAATTATGGTCTCTGAGAAATCTCTAGGACTCTGTCATTAAAAGAACTACAAAACTCGGGATGATTTCAAATTAAAGTCAATATTTGTGCGCAACTTTTATCCTAGCAGAATTTTAAATTTCACTTTCGCTCATTTTATATAAGCATTTTAGTAGGTTTAGGTTGAAATAAGTCTAAAAAAATCAGTTCCCTCCGTCGCCCCACAACATTAAATCCCATTATCTCACATCAGCTCAGGAATCAAATATAAAAAAATCTGAGAGAACAAACTTACTCTCATTCGGAACTTTAAAAGAAAAAAATATTGGCTATATCTTGAACGGTGTGACAAGAATTTCAAAATTTATTGCTAAAAAACATGTTTTGAGAAAAACGATAAGTTTAGATATGGATTTTTCATTCCAAGTCTTTAATCTCTGCACAATATGCGTGAATTATATATCTAATGTTGAGGCTGAAATATAAACATGTGATCCTTATCTTGAATGTTAGTATACGCATAATGATTGACATAAAATATTTTATTCGACGTTGATGCAGACGGAAAACTAGATCCTTTCAGATATTGAGACGTTTCAAAAAATCGCGAGAATTTCTCGAAAAACAAGTTAGCCGAGTCTAAATCTTTTCTGATGAGCCTATTGGAATATAGTTATCTTGCAAAAAGCCATTTATATTCTGAAAAACGAAACTTCGTCGTATCTGTGTATGATAAAACTCAATTTTGATTTTTTTTCGAAAAATTGGGTTTTCGAAGAGGAAAGATATTCAATTGACATTAACCCTTTGGCGACGGAGTTTTTGGGAAAAAAATAAAATTTCTCTTTTTCGACATATTTTATCATAAATCAATCTACATTTCTATTTTATAAAAACTTTTTATAAATACGCGTGTTTAGAAGTTTTTCAAAGTGTGAGACAGTTCAAGAGAAGGTACAACACATAAACCAACATTACATTGAACACACTCATATCTTGTTTTAGTATTTTTTTTTGGAACTGTTGCTGTATTACAGCAGATATGGTACTTTTGCCTCTTTCTTCTTTCACATGTACCTTTAGCTGAATAACCTTGAATGAGTGAAGGGAAATGTCGTGCAGTTAGTCTCATTAGATTTTCCAAAGATGGTCTTCCTTTTTTTCGTTCTTTTGACTTTCAATAGATTCGAGAATGAATCGAATCACTTCCAGTCGAAAGTCCGACAGATGCATTATTTTTCCGGTCTTGAACTTTTATAAGATGAACACCAAAAGGTCTCTGATAAATGCTTTCACGAAACCTGATATTACATATGAATCTATGTGTTTCAAAATACTAGGGAACCACTGTGACCCTATGCGGGGTCACCCGTTGTCGAAGGGTTAAACCAAATTAAATCAATTATTATAATATACGTATATTCAACAACTTTGCATTCCTTTTTTTTTTTGATGAAACAGAAAAGAATTAAGCTTTCAACGCAACGAGAGCTAACCATTTTTTTTATTTGTTTTTCATGAAAATAATCCTTTTAAATCATGCAATTTATCTATGAATCGTTTTATTTGAGAGAAAAAAAGTTATTTTATTTTTTCGAACATCGCAATTGAATGCATATGATCTTGAATAAAAATCACTAATCGACGATCTTGCCCTATTCTTTCCAGGTTCTTGTTTTTCTTTACTTTCAGACAAGATTCCTGTATTCAGGCAAGGTTCTTTTCGACAGGAAAGTAAAAAAAATCTTGTCTGAATTTCAAGATGACAAGAATCTCGTCTGATTAATCAGAAATAAAATAATCAGGCAAGAATCATAAGATATTCAAGATATATTTAACGTTCAGACAAGAATCTTTTTGTATTCTTTTAAAAAGAATCCTGTCTGAAGTTCAAGATCAAAAGAATCTTGCCTGAAAATTATGAAAAACTAGAAACTGGAAAGAAATATAAGATATTTTAAATTTCTTAGTATTCAGACAAGATTCTTATGATAGGAAAGAAACAGATTCTTGCCAGCTTTCCAAGATCAACGGCACGTGATGAAGTCTTTGTATGATCAAATATATAAAGGCAATGTCTGAACGTTATTTATTCATTATTGATTCGATAGGTAGTACAATTCAATTTGAATATGTACTTTTCCTAAAGCGTTCATTTCATTCAAACGAGATCTAGCAACTGATTATTTCAATTGGATGTATAGAAAAAGTTTCCATTCGATATCGAGAAAACAATGGAATATATGATATCTTTTTGTGTACTCAAAAAGTGAGTACACTCTAGAATCGGTCAGTGTGTCCGGCCGTCCGGCCGTCCGTTTACACGATAACTTTTGAAAGGAGAATCAGATCGCGATGAAATTTTCTACACAGTTCAGTCTTAACAATATCTCGGTCGAGTTCGAAGATGAGAAGGATTGGCCGAGCCCTTCCTGAGTTATTGTGAAAATACTCATTTTTCCCTATGTCTTCCTATAGGAAAATCTACCTATCCCCACTTTCGTAAAACACTTTCCCTATTATAGTCAAAGATAACCTCAACTATTATACACCATTCGATAGAGAATTTCACGAGCTACAAAATGGTATATAAAACATAAAGAAAGAAGAAAGCTAGCTCACCTATTGGAAAGATAAATAAACGGAAATCGGTTCTATTTTTGGTCTGCGCTCTAATCGATCCCCAATTCGAGCTCTATCTTCCGATCACCGAGATAATACTTCGAGGTTTTCTAGGATGGAGAACTTGAATCTGTAATCCACTTGACTTGAAGCTCCATTGGTTGACCACTGACCAACAGAAATCAAATTATAGGAAAAAACGCGTTTTTTAGGATAACTCAAGGCGAAGAGTCCAAATCTGAGCTGTATTCACTCCAAAATCCTATTGGTTGAGCAGTAGCCAATAGAATTCAAGTGTTTATAGAAAGGATTTGCCAGGCTAATTTTTATATCTGCGTATTCTAGGATGACCGATTTGTCTCATTCACTTTTTGAAGTACACATAACTCTCGGATTTAAATCCGAGGTTTTCACATTTATTTTCCTTTGTTTTCAGAAAACTTACACTTATTGAACACATTTCGATATTTTACCAATCCATATCTTTCTATTTTATTTTTTTTAGATTTTCTTTCATTATCCACAAAAGTATTTTTTTTAATGGACGAAGAAAATCTCGATTCGTTCAAAAAATTATTGTTTGATAATGCTCTTGGTAATATAAGTAATATCTATATGCACTTTATATCTTTTTGGCTCCCATACTATCTTTTTTAGAGTCATCACCACATACAGGTAAACAACGTCGATGGCGTGCTAAGAAAAAAGATCAACATCATCGTACTCAATTATCTCTACATCGTTTACTAGTTGAACAAATGGTAAATAACTTATTTTAATCGAGCTAGCTTAACATACGACGATGATGAAGTTTGAAAAAATAAGTATTTTTTTTTTGATAATGAAAATTTTATTTTTTTTTGTGTTAAAAAGCTGAAACTGCTTTAATAACATGTGAAATTAAAAGTATTTTTTTGTTCTTTTTTACATTTTTTTGTACACGGTGTGCAAAACTTATAATAAAATGATATGAAAAAGAAAGTAATAATAACCTACAAAAGGCTTTTTTAATGTGACCAGAATCAACCAAGAAACACTAGAAATAAGAAACAGACAAGAATCTAAGAAGAAAAGAATCAGGCAAGAACATAAAGAAAAATAAGAATCAGACAAGAATTCATGAAAAGCAAGGATCAGGTAAGAATATAAGAATCTTGTCTGTAGAAGAACTTCTTGCCTCAGCAGCCAAGATTCGGTCTACACGAATCTTGTCAGAAAGGCAAGATCAGTTTTTTCAGGCAAGAATCTTGTATAGAAGGAATGGAAAAAGAATCTTGTCTGAAAACCAAGAAAAACAAGAACCTGGAAAGAATAGGGCAAGATCGTCGATTAGTGATATATGTAGTTTATTACACATAGATGATCAATATTATATTTTGAAATAGTTAATTGATATCTGAAAAACTAATTTTCGTTTGATATTCTGAACTCAAGAAGTCAAACATAATCAACAATCAAAGTATGCCACAATATTGCTGTTTTATGAATAAAGAAACGGCAGATATCGGTTATGTTAGTTGCCACATGAATGAATGGACGAGAAACAGCGTTACTCCCTGGTTCACTCATTCATGACCGATTTAGACTATATAGAAACAAACAAACGCTTCTTCTCGCTGTCGTCGTCGGATGATAGAATAAAGAATATATAATTAGTTGATAAAGATTGACCGATGCAACACAAATGAACATGGAACATTCATGTGTTCAACTAATGGATATGCCCAATGAGATACTTCTGTTTATTTTAACCAAATTAACCAATATTGAGGTCCTTTATTCCCTAATAGGCGTTAATATACAACTTGATAAAATCGCAAGTGATTCTGTCTTTACGAATCATTTAACATTAATGAAACGTTCGTCGAATGGTGATATCTATCCATTGGCTAAATCAATCCTTGATCGCTTCTGTTTACAAATATTGCCTAAAATTCAACATAAAATCAAGTGGCTCAACCTTGAATCATTATCTATAAAACGTATTCTTCTAGCTGGCTACTATCCTAACTTACGTGGATTTGGTCTTTTTATTGTTGAACCTGAAACAGTTGCACATCTGTTTGTTGGTAAGAACCTTTATTTTGATTGATTTAATCATTAAAAGTATATAAAGCACATGAAAATGAACATCTCTCATTTTTAGTACAACCGAGTAGTTCATTGTACAATGTTTATCGAAAACAATTTTAAGTTTATATAAAAACGAAACGAAAAAAACTATTAATATAATGATACAGTGAGGGCTCAAAAAAGCACGTACATTTTTGTTTTTACGCATAAACGAATAATAAGAATACTCTGAAAATTTTCTCTCATATCGGACTTTGTAGAGCTTTTTTTGCTGATCATTTTGGAAAAAAAAGTTTTTGATTTTCATTGAGTAATGACGATGTCATAGTCAAAATACTAAACACTGTAATATAAAGTAGGGAAAAAAGTTTAGCACACTTTTAGTATTTGGCTAATTTTTACGTTATTTCACAACATCTGAAAGGTGTTCTATATACCATTCGACGCAGAATTTAATGGGCTACATTTTGGTAACAAGCACTTATACTTATATTGCAGTTAATTAATTAATAATAATTAGCAATTAATTAATAAAATTTTGATTTTTTTTTAAATTCCAACTCTTTCATATGAAAGAGCATAAAAAACTGAGCAAAACTCTATAATTACTATTTGGAAAGCAACGAATTTAGTATGCGTAAAAACAAAAATGTACATGCTTTTTTCCTATGCCAAATGTAACTTATTCTCAAACTCCGATTTGGAAAGAAACCTGCAATTTTGTCTTTTTTATTGCTTTTATCTGTTTAGAGGTAGATCATTTCGGGCACATCATAAAAAATCGTATTTCGACACTGATCATCACGTTGCCTGACAATGAAAAAGAATTATTCAGAACAGATAGAATGAAGACAATCTGTACTCGTATCTTTACTATATTCAGCAATTTAATCTGTTTAAAGTTTTACCCATATTCTGATATTTACATTAACTTCGTTGAAAAATTATCATTTAATCATCCAACGGAATATGTAACATTTTCTTCTACAACTTTGATGAAATTATATATCAATGTTGAAACGTTCAATGACTGTCTTTATCTTCTCGATGGCCGTTTCAAACAACTTCATACATTCTATGTTAATGTTTTTATCTCTACTCCTCCATTGCCAACAATTCCTAACACAGTAGGTTATTTTATTTGAAAGAATCACTAAAATTCTTTTATTTTTCTAGACAGAATTAATAAATTTAAAACGTTTTTCATTAACTTGTGATATAGGCATAGGCTTTTACGAAGAATCGCTTGTGTCTCTCCTACATCGAATGTCGAATCTAGAAGAACTTTCCTTATATACCTCGATCTGTTGTTATAGCCATGGTAAAACATTTATTGATGGAAATAATTTGAAGAATGATATTATTTGTCATATGTCAAAGTTAAAGAAGTTCATGTTTAGTATCCATTCAAATATATTGATTGATTATTCGATTTCTTTACCATCAAATGAAGACATTCAACGTACATTTGAAGATCTTAAAGATTATCAAATTATTTCTTATATCGATTATTTTCCAAAGGAAAAGATTGGTCAATGTCATATATATTCGTATCCATCTAGAATGATATATTATCATAATCTTACAAATAGTTTTCCAGGTGGACTATTCAAATTTGTTCACAGAGTTTTACTATATGATGAACGTCCTTTTGAATATGAATTTTTTATTCGAATTGCTAAAGCATTTCCATTTCTTAAAATGTTGATTATAGAAAATCGATCACCGCAAATATTAAATGAAGATAATCATAATTTACCAATCGTTGAATATCCTCATCTTATTCATCTAGATCTCTCAAGTGCTCATGATGATTATATTGAACAATTGCTTGTTAATACGAAAACTTGTCTATCAAATTATATTCATCTTGTTATCTCTTATCGTTCCCTACAAAGAGTAACACACAACTTCACAAAAGATACAATGCGAGTGAATTGTGCCAAAGTCAAATATTTATATGTTTGTAATAAATCGGACGTTCCCGAACAACTTCATGTATATTTTCCTCATGTAGAAAATTTGTAACTATTGTTAAAAAAATTACAAAGTAAATACTTTTATTTACTTTATAAATCGTTCCTGATACATTAAACAATCATTATAGAAGAACTTCGTAATGATTCATTTTTAATATAATAAAACGAAATGTTTTGTCTGTTTAGCATGTTCAAATTGATGCTTTAAATCAAAATGATTTGCTAATACACTTAAATAACTTAAACTTAAATATGCATGTTTTGTTATATAAGTATACCAACACGATGATCGAGAAGGTAATATAGCATCAGGTTCAGTTTGTTCAAATTTTGCTTCATTTGTATTATCATCATCGAGAATAATTGAATCGGATGGTGAAGTAAACAAAACTAGAAAAATATTTTGACTGATTTCCTTTAATATAAGATTGATCATTTGTTGATAATCGATTCGATAAATGATGAGCAGTTGTATGAATAATTATCGGAGGTGAATCAAATTCTAATTCTTCAACAATAACTGCTGCTAGCCAATTAGTATGACGTTTTAATGCATTTATATCTGATTTAATATGATCACCAAAATAAATAACTAACGGATCTTTACTACTTATTCGACTCATAATTAAATGTAAATCTTCACTATTACCAAACAGTCTTCCTAATATTTTCGCACTATTCCTCAAGCTTTATTGATAGCCTGTATGTGGATATATCATAATACGATTAATAGTACATATCATGCTTAAATTGCAGTCATGATTCCCTGTAGGTAGATATCACTTCAGATTCCCACACCCGTCCTCCTCAGAAAAAAAAATTCGTCAGAAAAAAAGACCAATGTACACGTTTTGGCAAAACAAATTATGCCAGGTTGTAGCTCATCACAAGGGCTATCAGAATATGTATAAATCTCAAAATTGAGTTTTTTTCGAAAAATTGACTTTTCTGAGGGAGCCCTCCCCCCCCCCTTAATATTCTTCAGAAATCTATAGGATCCATAGAATCTATCGGGATCTGTTCTTTTCACCCTTGTATTTGGCGCAGTAATTCATGAACTTTATAATACATATTTTTTTATTTTAGAGACGAACACATTTTCTAGACTATATTTTTTGTATTGTCGCGGCAGCGGCGCGTTACATTTCAAAGTGGACACGATGCGGCAGCGGCTAATTCTCAGCCGCAATGGACATCTCTGCTAAGATGTGTGTCATATCTAGGATGAGCCGTTTCTAGCTTGTCTGTGACATTTCGATGATAATGTTTGCCATTTTCTGTGGAGGAGGATGAAGAAATGTAAATTTCTATCCAATATACTTCAACATTTCTTTTAGATCGTGTTTTACAAAATCAATATTTTTATGTTTTTTGTTGATTATTATTTTACATAATAGTCAATACAATGATAAAAAAAATTGAAGAAAAATAAAAGCCTTTGAAAGATATTCATAGTTGTCTATAAGAATCTTCAAGATTACTTAAAGATTGTAAATCTCATCATTTTTTAATGTATTATAACTTATTGAAATACATCTATTACAAGGAAAACACAATCGAAAAGTATCGATTAATAGAAGATATTATTAATTTTTGCATATTGTTCGATGATGATCTCTACTATATGAAAAGGTAAGTTGATGTGAGTCGAATACAGAATAAATTTATAGACAATGATCAGCAATTCTAATTTTTTTAATGTCGGATGTATTTTCACCGATTCATCTATTCATTTAGTTTTAAGTAAATTAAACATTAACAGAAAATTATAAAATAAAAGTAAACAGCCAAGTGATCTGTTTGATGTTAATAACTACCGGTTAATTAATACGTCAATTTTTACATTAAAATTAATGTAAATTTACCATTGCAAGTAGATCATTGAGAAGACTTCTGGTAAAACTCAACGTGTAATTTTTGGTTGATGACAAGATTTTCACCAATGAAGAAGATTGACGGATAGAGCCTATCGAGTTGATTTAGAGTTTAGGTCTGAAAATTTCCTATGAATCAGTACCTAATCAATGAGTCATATTCGGAAAATAGCTGCCAATGTAGGATGTCAAGGAGTAACTCCATTGTTACTTTTGATAATGATATTTATTAAGCTACTTCAGTACTTTCGATCGTATTTATATCAGTAGAAATGCACATTGTCAAGGTCAACACTATGAAAAAGAACTCATACTGAGAAAAGAAAAGAAGACAAGTGAAGTGTAACGGTCAATAATCGTTGGAGTATGTATTTGCAAAATAAAAATAATCGATAAAAAGTATGTTGGATTTGTAGAGCAACTTGAAGATCCAGATTAAAAAGTTTTCGTGAAATTAAAAATATGATTCGAGTCTGAAAAGTTTTATCAATCAGATTTTGTTCGGAAAATTTTGAATATGACGATTTTTAGTCATGAAATGAGCATTATGGAAGAAGAAATCTTTTATTTTTGTTTATTGTTCTTTTTGTCATAGTACCTGATTGAAGAGTTCAATGAAGAAAATTATTAAATAACGAAAGATGATGTTCTCGCTATTACGATGATATTAAATAATTCCATTTTTGGATCGTATTTTTATTAACTTTATTATGATAGATGGAATTCTCGATTTATATTCGAATTGTCTAAGAAAATAAAATGTCAAATCTACAGTTTAACATCAATATGAAATCGAAATGATTCATAAGATTGATCACTGATCATATACTTTACAGATTTTCTTGATGAAAATTTGTCTTGACAGCAAGATTTTCGAATTTGCATTAAATAAATATTTTCTACATCATAAAATTGTTGAGAATCTGTCGATAAAACATTAGAGAATCTATCTATCACATCAATTCTATGTATATCGGAAAAATCAATGGAAATTTGTCAGATTACCATGTAAAATAAATTGAGAAAAAGAATATTCATAAAACTAAAACATTTCTTAACTCTTTTAGAGAAGGAATAAACAAAAAAAAAAACAATGTTCATTTATATTTGAATTGTTAAGAAATATCAATGATAAATTTTATAATAAAAATCATATAAAAAAAAAAAAGAAAAGTTTAACTTTGATTGTAATTATGAAGATTGATCAAAATATAGATTAGATCGTTGTATTGTTAAAGATTTTCCATCATAAATAGCATTTAAATACTTAATATTATTTAAATTAAATTGTTTTTCAAATATTTTCATTTTTGTTTGATTAACACCATGACACATTAATTGAAGTGTTTCCATAATATTATTATTATTATTATAAATTGTATTAATTATATTTATAATTAATTCTCCATTATTTTCTAATAAACGATCAAAATTATTTAAAAATAATTTTAATATACGTAAATTTTCACATTTATATATAAAATCAAAATTTATATCTCGACATTCAGTTAATATAAGAGTTTCAAGTTGTTTTGGCATTTGTAAATTATCTGAAAGACATATTTGAGGAATACGAATATAACGAAGATTATACATTGATGATAAATTAAATAAATTCATATTGATTGATATTTTTTCATCTGTATTATAAATAGTTAATTTATTTAAATGACGAAGATTTATTTTATTTGATAATAATGATGAATAATCAATTATTAAACGATCTAATTTTAATTCATTTATTAATTGAAATTTATCAAGAAGATTTTTTAAACATTCCAATTTTATTGGAATACTTTCACCATCATAATAAAGATGACGAACATTTGAATATATATCTCTAAATAATATATTTTATTCATTTTTAATTACATTTATTATCAATCATTTTCTCTTTGATATTTTCCTTAGATACACTAAGCAAACCTTCTTATCAATTATTTTATTGAAAATGAAGAAAAAACATGTTTATTTTCGTACTAAACAATATCCCAATATTATACATTAGGAAAAATAAAACTAAACGTCGTCGTCTGTGATAACCTAATGAGAAGCAATAGTTGATTATTCAAAGAAATTCTTTTATTTTGAATAAAATAAATTCAATAGATGGGATTTTATTTAGATCAAGTTGAACAACAAGTGTTTCTCATTCAATAAATATGAGCCATAATTTTTTCGATTCGATTGAGATTCTAGATATATTCAATTATCACTCTTATTGTTGTTGACCGATTTGGACAACTTTTTTCTTTCTATAGTTTACTTCTCTTTGTATGTCTCACACTGATACAAAATTTCAGATCTCCACCTCATACTATTGTTGACTTATCAGGCTTACATTAGGGACAAAAAACTCATTTTTCACAAAGAGATCTGCTAAAAAAAGACATTTTCTCCGCATCAATAGAAAGAGAAGAAGATAATGAATAGTTAATGTTGTAGAGCCTGAAGTGTTCCAGTGGATTATTTGTCTGCCTCTCTCTCTTTTCATACGCGTACATCTGAAATACTCAATGATAGACGCGTGTTCATTTTCTTGTAGAATGACTTATTCCGAATTTTGTTGCAAACAACTAACTCATCCGTTTTCACTCAAATTTTTACTGTAGATATACTTATCGGAGTTGTATTATCGCTAGAAAATGGAGTCATCTATCTCTTATTGTTCTCAACAAATTAGCATTATATGTTGACTTATAGACCGATCTTTTTTTGTGTCATATTCCAATGAAAAATATGTTAAAATGAATGTTACTGTATATCGTTCGATTCGTTTCATTCCTGAAAACCACTCAATGTTTATTACGAACAAATACCAACTAGTTCTATTGCGTAGAATTTTAGTGAATTATTGCTCGACTTTTGATTAAGTAGCATTATCAACACCGGATTTTCGCTGAACTATCTTATATCTATATGAATATCCAAAAAAGTATTGGAATTTTCGTTATCTGTCTAACATAGATATATAACAGAATTTACTAGAACAATGATGTTTTATCCTACTTCCAGTTTTTCATGTCAATTGCACTAAAAATGAGTTGCAATTCACTCATATACACCAATCAAGACATAATTAGAAGTCCAGACAGTATGGAGAATAATTTTATTGAAAGCATTTATGCTTTTTAGAGTATCATATTTGACAATATTTTGGTAAAAATACTTTTTAAAAAAGTCTTTGCTAATTTAAAGCATGTTTTTATATACTGCTGAAGCTTTAGAAATTCGAATTACTGCTTTCTCAAACATAGAGAAAACACAAAAGTCTTTGATACTTTACTTTTCAAGAGTGTATGGAAGAACGAAACATTTCCAGGTATTGGTTCTCTTTTCAACGGGACTTAGTGCATATTACAGACCTTAATGAGTAATGACTACTATGAAAAGAGTGAACATTTTTAATGAATCTTCGTACTGTGGAAATCTATTTTCGGTTATCTAAAGATCTCAATTACGATTTTTTATGTAATTCTTTGTAAGATATGAAGCTTTCAAAAAATATATACAGCATATATTATCTAAGGAAAAGAGCCTAATACCTTGAAATTTGTATATCTCTGAGAGACTTAATCAAAAAATTCTCAAACTTTTATTTGCGATCTATTCTAATTGATATCTTTATATGAGCAAAATTTCGCGTTAAAATTCGAGAAATGGTCTTGCTAAAAAAATTGGGTTCTTCCAAGGAAGATTCATTAAAAATGTTCACTCTTTTTCCAGTAGACATTGTTCACTAAGGTCTG